AGAGTCCGACAGTAAATTAAATCTATTGTCAATTATATTGAAATCTATAATTACTAAATCATGTATTCAATGAGTGAATTAATTTTGTAATTAAAAGATAAATTATTAAATAAAATACATGTCATACAAATGGGACTTACATTTGAAGTGTTTGTGACACCATATGAGGTCATCAAGTCTTTAATTATCCCAATATTTTTAATTATTAGATAAAATATATTTAAATCATATTCTGTTTTTAATTAATTTTAAGTTTATTTTATTTCAATATAAATAAAAGATTTTGTAAAAACAAAGTTTTAGTTTTTGGTATGAATGACATTGAAAATTACATTACCGTAATATAAATAGCAGTGGAAACTGTGCGAACATTAAAATGTTAAATATAGGGCTAATTGAAACTAAAATACTGTTTTACCACAAAATAGCCAAATATTTAAGAAATTGTTTGGAAGTTTCCACACATCACTTCATTTCTACGATTTTATGGAAAAATATTTGTGCAAAAAGTGGTTTTAATCATTTGAAGTCTGTATATATCGTACAGTAAGTTAGATGTATAGACATTCGTTTGAAGTGATTTGAATTCAAAGCAAGCAATTTATTTAATAATATTTATTTAATTCTTAGTTAAGCTATCAATCTATTGGACAAATCATACTTCTTTGTGGAAAAGTTTAAGTTTTCTATAAATTTCTAAATATTTCGTTGAAACGTCTTATGATTTTTCAATTAAATCATGAGAAAATTCTTCATATATTTATTGTATGCGTTATACAGTAATGTATAAATTTTATGGATTAACATTAATTCGCCATTTATTCATCTTGTTAAAAGACTTTTAGATGTAATTTTATATTTAAAAATTTGTAACTTGATCAATTGATCTCCACCTAAGTTATAAATTGACTCGAAATTTATAATCGAAATTGTTGTGATCCATATAATTTTGAAATACACTTTTTATAATTAACTTTTAAGCTTAAGTTTTGATTGCATTTATCGTTTGAGATTAAATTAAATATATTTATATTTTACATTTATAGCAAAACCATTTTATAAAAACATACGGATTCATTGGATATTGTCACGTATAAAAAGTGACTTGATGACTTTTTATTAATTACTAAACTTTGCGCTGTGGTGCCTCCATCAATGTCTAACATAAACTACTTTTTAAACATAAACTGAATTCAAATCCTATCACCAGTTTATGGACATTGAGACATAAACTGTGATTTCAACTGTAAACTAAACTGTAAACTAAATGAACATAATTTAAAGATAACTTGTATTTGGAATAAGATTAGGCAATTAATAGATAAAACAATTTTATTGAAATAAACAAAGACTTACAAATACAGACATTTGGATGTTTTCAAACGAGTGAAGACTTTTGGAGATATGATGTAAAACTCGACATAAGTTCAGAAATTCTATGTTTCAGAGAATGTAATATTATATTACTTTTATGACTACTTATCTAAAAACTGATAGAAGTTTTTAGAGAGAACTCAGTTTCAATTCTCAAAGAGAATATCAACGAATCTCATTGACAATCTAACACAAGCTAAAAGGGTTTTAAGAGCTAGTGATCGGTTTGGTGTCCAGTACTGTAAGCTTCTCGAAAACAGCAAAAGTCGGTCTATTTATGCACTTGATCAGACCATCCAAAGGTTCTGAGATCTGAGAACCCCTGATTGTCTCATCCTCTCACTGAGTCGGTCTCAAGACTGCAGTGTTGGTGCGTTTACTTATTAAGCAGCTCTGATTGGCTGAACTACTCTTATGCCCAAATATGGGCATAGAGAATGCATACTGCAGTGAATGCGTCTAATATTTGCTGATGCATAGGGATGACTCTCTCTCCTCTCTCGCTTTAGCCAAATACTGACACAGTAAGTGCTTAGCAGCACTTATGTGTTGAATATGTGATTATACAATAATAAATGTATAGCTATGTTAAGAAATAGCTAGTATAACATAAAGTTAATGCACAATATATACATTATAATTAAAATATAAATATAATGATAAATTATAAAAAATACAGTCTATGTAGTACTCGGGTTTTATGGTATTATATGATGTATGATAAGGACTCATGAATGTGATTTGATCCGCGAGGATCAAATCAGGCCTTTGATCTCAATAAGCCATTCGCTCTCTAATTATCATTATGCTGTACTAATGATTAATCACTAATTACAGAAAATGTACTCCATGTACCTTCTTCATTTTGTGATATTATTTGATGTTTAATACGAGCTTTTGATTGATGTATCAATTGTCCAAATCGTATGTGGCGTCTGGCCGTGACAGCCGAAAGTTCCCGAACTTCCATAAGAATATATGTAATTATACATTAACGCTTATTACTGGAAAAGTAATCCATGTGCTTTCTTTAAATTAGGATATTGTTTGTTGTTCTAAATAAGCTGTCGAATGAGGTATTAATCGTCCATATCGTATGTGGCGTTCGGCCACAGCGGTCACTTTACCGAACCTCGGTAAATGTAATGTATGATAACTCATGAACGGCTCATAGCGGGACTGTGATATTTACATGGTATATGCGGTACGCCAATGTGATTATAATGGTGTATGATAAGTGTCCGTCCGTCCTCGGGATTACCGATTCTGGCCAGATTACCGATATAATACGGTAATGTATGAGTATTTGTGTATAAGTGTACAATATAAATGTGAGTATAACAGAGTATATGGATTATGTGAATGCAAGTAAATGAAGTATTGGCGCGAAAAATAATAGGAGAGAGTCACGTGACAAATAGTGGTTAATAACGGGGTTTGACTGTTGTTTAGATTTACCATTAATGATGTTCAACTGTACTAAACTATTATTTTCCTGTCAATATGAATCACAGAATCACTACATTTAAACCAAATGACATCTTTGGATTGTAGGTTTTAATTACATCTACACTATACTGTAGTTTATAAGTTTTTAATAAAAAATCTTTTTGTCAAAAGTTATATTTATTTGTAAGTAAAGAAAGTGAAGGTTTTGTAGTTTTAAATCAATAATATTGTTTAGCTTATATCATTTATTATATCAGTAAAATATCAATCGTTATATCACTGGAGTCCAAACCAAAATATAGTGTTTTGTTTATTATATTTTTCTTTTCCTTATTTACTGTGAATTAAATCCAAAGCTTTGCACAAATATCCTCATTAAACATAACTAACACTCAATTGGAATCAAGTTGTTATAAATAATATCAATAGTATTGATTCAATACATATTTTTAGTAAAATGTTTGACAAAATATTTTGGTTTTGAAATTTTTTGAGCAAAAACGAAATGATTGGAGTTCTTGTCAAACATTAATATTAAAACTATTTGTAGTTAAACCAGTTATTTCTCGTCGACGGCGCTCTTTCTGTACTTCATTTTAATTGATTGCTGAAAATGGATAAGAATTTTATCAATCTTTACGATAAGTCAATGTTTTGAACCATCACTTCGTAAGCTTTCGCTGCAACTCATAGGCATTAGTTTTGCATTCAGTGCCAAACCATTTGCATTTAATAAACAGTTCTCATATTTAATTTTTTAAAAGTTTGTTGAACGAGTTGAGAGAGTTATGAGAGATTTGGGACCACTAATAGGTGCCATAGATCAGGGCACCAGTTCTACCAGATTCCTGGTATTTGTGGCCCAAAGTGGAGAACTGGTAACCTATCATCAAATTGAGATCAAAAGAGTGTTTCCATTCCAGGGTTGGGTCGAACAGAATCCTCTCGAGATCTTTGATTCGGTCACTGAAACCATTGCTGTAGTCATCGAAAAACTTAATAAATTAGAGATTTCTCCACAAGATATTAAATGTGTTGGACTTACAAATCAGAGGGAATCGTGTATTGTATGGGATAAAGTGACCGGTATGTCAACCGCTTTCATTCAATTATTTCATTTCTAATCAATATTATATGAAGATTTAGTTTCTTGCGTTAATTTTATTATTAAAAGCTTATAAATAACAATTTTTCGTAACTAATAGACTATTTACATAACTAATGTAAATTATTAACTAACTTAATAAAATGATCTATATTATTCACAATTAACAAAATTTGCTTATTTAATATTTAAGTATAAATAAATATAATGTTATAAATATTGGTGATTTGACAGGCGCTCCGCTTTACAATTGCATTGTATGGCTGGACAACAGGACGAGTGAAATTGTGGACACAATTCTTGATCACATTCCCGGCCGTGACTTGAATTGGCTCAAAAAGAAGACAGGTTTACCCATATCTACATATTTCACGGCTTTTAAACTTAAATGGCTTATAAATAACGACCCGAAGATTGTTGAGTCCATTAAAAACGATCGCTTACTCGTGGGAACCGTCGACTCGTGGCTGTTATGGAAGTTAACGGGAGAGCACATGACGGACGTGACAAATGCCAGCCGAACACTACTCATGGATATCGAGTCACTCGAATGGGACCACACTTTATGCAAATTCTTTGAGATTCCTATGAAAATATTGCCTCAAATTAAAGCCTCTTCTGATTACTTTGGAGACATTAAAAGCGGACCACTTATTGGTATACCCATTACAGGTACACTTCATTTTAATTATCTCATCAGTTATAGCCTATAACTGTTATAGCATTTAAAGCTTTTACAATTCAGTTAGGAATACCCTTATGTATACTTAATATTGGTACCCAATAACATGGGACCCCAGTTTAAGTAGATACACTTTACTGTTAACATGTTATTTTATGTGTAATTTCGTGACCTTTGGATAATTTTAATCCAATGTTAATTTATGGATAATGCTATTTTTATTATTTATCATTAGAGTTGCAAATAAAATAAAATTAATTTGAATGCTATAACAATACTTTTACAACTTTTTTCTATTTCCTTGTTATAGAAAAGTATCAGTATACATATTCTGAGTACATATTATTAGGATCCAGACACAGTAAACATTTTTTTGATTTTATCAAATTATAAATACTGTTCGACTTTGATATTGGAAGTTATATTAAACATATTTTCCATTAATTTCTTGATATTTATTATATAATCACTAAATGATTAAATTTGATTAATTTTCAAATACTGTACATAATGTGTAAACATTTTAGGAAATGTTGTAATTTTATAAATTTCAATACAAATTAGGTGTGATTGGGGATCAAAACGCGGCACTTGTGGGTCAGCAATGTTTTAATATAGGTCAGGCAAAGGTGACATATGGAACAGGGTGCTTTCTAATCCAGAACATAGGTCCCGGACCCGTTCACGGTGCCCTCAGTGGCGTCTCGAGTCAGGCCAAAAACACTCTCATCACAACCGTTGGCTATAAGTTTGGCTCCAGTCCTGCCTGTTATGCATTGGAGGGAAGTGTTGCCATCGCCGGTGCGGCCATCACTTGGCTCAGGGATAATCTCGAACTCATACAGAATTACGGAGAGATTGAAGGCATCGCCAATCAGGACGAGAGCGCCGGCGGACTCTTCTTTGTGCCCGCGCTTCAGGGTATAAGTCATTGAATAGATTCTGTGAAAACAATTCATTATATTGAATATGTTATTTGGAAATGTGATGAATAGGTCTATACGCCCCCTATTGGGACGCCAACGCCACGGGCACTATAATCGGTGTCTCGCAGTTCAGCCGGAAGTGTCATTTAGTTCGCGCCACTCTGGAAGGGGTGGCCTTTCAGGCCAACGACATCCTAGCGATGATGCGTCGGGACAGCAGAGGCGTCAAAGTGGACGGAGGTATGAGTTCTAACGACTTGTTGTGTCAAATGTTGGCCGACATCTCCGGGTGTCAGATATTAAGGCCCAAACTGACCGAAGCGACCGCTTTGGGAGCAGCGATGGTCGCCGGATATCACGTCGGCCTCTGGGATATCAATTCTGAACGACTCAACTCTGAAAGAGAGCCCACAAGTGAGGGACTAATCGAGAAGATCGCAAGACGTCTGTCATTTAGAGGCGAGAATAATACTGCGGGTAAAAAGTTTGATATATTTTGGCCAAAATTGGACGATAAGACACGAATGGATAAAATTAATACATGGAAAATGGCTGTCGGGAGGAGTCGTAAATGGATTAGAGTCGAGAAACAAGAGCTCAAGAAAATCAATTATAAGAGATTATCAACGCTTCCCTTCATGTTCTATGTGTTGATGTCATTCGCCACACATATAGTCAGTGCCATTCAATAGACTGTCCATCACTTCCAATCCATTCAAACACTTTGTAATTTATAGACATAATTATCTTATGTTATAATCTTATAATCTGAACACTATTTGCAGATACAGTAGAAAATTATGTATTTTGTAAATTTATATATATTTATGTGAAATAAAATTTCAAACGCTTTTGGGAACAATTCAATTGATTTTCACCAACTCTTAAGCGAATGGCTTTATATAGTTGTACAATACTTATAACATGTTAATTTGTACAATTTACTTATTATCGGTAATTATAAAATATAAAAGCTTATTTGATGTGGTCGTGGTAATACCATGTCATCATACAGTACATTATGTTTTCATAAAACAGTACAAATACTATTTTTACCATTAATGGCAAAAGACAACATAAATCGTGTCCGATATAAGTCATTATAACCGGTAATAATCATTCAATACATGAAACAAATGTTTAAATTTAAGACAATTTATTTGAATTAAATTGAGACTAAAAATACTCATTTCGTAACTAATTTACTAACAATTCATTGAATACAAGCAAACAATCTATTGATTCGTATCCTAAGACATGTCCCGAAAAAAAAACAAACTTAATATTAAACAGATTCGCAAATGTGGGACAAAATGATGTAATAATTGTAATTATTTAAGTTTGTTGAACAGTGTCTGAGACACGCAATGGTCGACACAATGCATGAAATCGATCACTTCCTCCATACAGGTCTCGGCGGTCTTCGTGCGACCCGAGACCCGATCGTTGCATTCCTTCAGCTTCTGGTCGAAGCCCTGGCAGTGATGTCCTGAACCGCATTCCTCCCGAAGTGTCACCTGTGGATCCACCAAATCCTGCTCCTCCTCTTCCGACGCGTACACCACTCCCTTATTGGCCATCACTTTGTCCGCCATTGTCTTCAGTGTCCGCTTAATTGGTGTCCAAATCAACTGACGGTCCGATCGATGCCTTGAATCAGTCAATACAACCTCACTATGGCTTCAATACCTTTAACTTAACACTAATTACGGCTTTTAATGCAGTTTTTGTGTTTCAAATTGTATCCAATTTTTGATCACTTTTTTGTGAATTAGTTTTAAATCAAAATATTTTCAAAATTATTTGCCATTAAATTGAAGTGATTTCTGAAGTTATCATAAGAAGAGTATGTCTTAAGAAGTGATGTCTAAATGCCTTAAGTGTTGAATGAATTGATTGTCGTTTTTGATGTCAGATCCGCTAAAAACGACGAAACAATGTTTTGCTATTGAAGTGTCCATTGAATCGATGACCAAATGAAGTGATTATTACAGACAATAAGCGAAGATTGAAAGCTATGGAGGAATTGACGAAACTTCAGGAGTTGTCACTCGTGTCGAAGATATGCACAGAACTGGAGAACCACTTGTCGTTCAACGACAAAGACATGGCTGAGTTCATCATCAAGTTGTCCGAAAAGAACAACACTTTCGAGACATTCAAAGCAGTTCTTCATCAAAATGGCGCCCAATTTAACGACTCATTTGTGGCCAATCTCTTGAGAATCATTCAACACATGAGACCCAAACCCATCCAATCCATTGATGCCGACAAAGACAGCGAATCCAATGTCATGGACCGGAACGACGTTCAGATGAAGAGGGTTTTATACCCGGGTCTCGCCATTCCTGACAATCCGGCCGTTCGGCTGATGCTTGAAGGGGACGACGAGAAGGGCGTGAATTCAGGAACTGTTAAAGTGAAGAGCGAACCAAATGTTAACGAAGACGATAAGGTGGCCATCGATATGATGGCAGTCTTGGAATCGATGGCTTCGAAGACTGAGCCCCAAAAGAGTCCCAAAAGGGAAAAGGATTACAAAGAGAGCGTTAAAACTGAACGAAAGAGGAGTCGGAGTAGAGATCGGTATAAAAGCTCGAGAAGTAAGAGAAGTCGTGACAGAAGTCATGACAGATATCGAGACAGAAGTCGCGATCGAAGTGAGGATAGAAATGAGGGCAGAAGTCATGATAGGTATCGAAACCGAAGCCGAGACCGAAGTGGAGACAGAAATCGCGACCGAAGTCGGGACCGGAGTCGGGACAGAAGGCGACGAAGAAGTCGTTCTCGAAGTGTTGACAGACATCGAGAGAGGAGTAGAAGTAATGATCGAAAGGATAGAAGACGAGGAAACGAGAGGGAGACGAAGGAGTTGCCGAACGAACCAATAGTGGGCGATATATACAACGGGAAAGTGACAAATATTATGCAATTCGGATGTTTTGTACAATTGGATGGACTGAAGAAGCGATGGGAGGGTTTGGTCCATATCTCGCAATTGAGACGCGAGGGAAGAGTGAATAACGTGAACGAAGTCGTCCAAAAGGGACAACGAGTTAAAGTGAAAGTGTTGTCATTCACGGGACAGAAGACTAGTCTTACCATCAAAGATGTGGATCAGAACACCGGCGAAGACTTGAATCCATCGCACGATAGAAAAGATATGAACAGCGATCTGATGGACGCCCGAAACCCCGATCGACCGCTTTCTCTACCGTTGACTGGATTGCAGAAAATGGATGACGAAGACGTGGAGAGTCGCAGACGTATTATTCAACGCATATCATCGCCAGAGAAGTGGGAACTCAAGCAAATGATGTCCGCCAATGTGTTGGACAGATCTCTTTTACCCGATTTCGACGAAGTGTCGGGCGTTTTGCCCAAAGACGAAGACGACGACGACGAGGACATTGAGATCGAGAGGGTAGAGGACGACCCGGCCTTCCTTCGCGGTCACGGAAGGGCTAATCTCCAGAACTTAAGTCCCGTTCGTATAGTGAAGAATCCGGACGGATCTCTCGCCCAGTCAGCGATGATGCAGTCGGCGCTCTCGAAGGAGAGACGCGAACTCAAGCAACAGCAGAGGGAGGCGGAGATGGAAGGCGTGCCCTCCAATCTCAACAAGGATTGGATCGATCCGATGCCCGCCTCCGACACCCGACCCCTCGCCGCCAATATGCGAGGCGTCGGCGCCGCCACTCAAGACGTGCCCGAATGGAAGAAACACATCACCGGAGGTGTGAAGGCGTCGTACGGAAAGAAGACTCAAATGACGCTCATTGAACAGCGCATGAGTTTACCCATCTATACGTTCAAAGACCAGTTGGTTAGGGCTGTGTTCGACAATCAGATACTTATTGTTATCGGAGAAACCGGTTCCGGAAAGACCACTCAAATCACACAATATTTGGCTGAAGCCGGATATACGGCGCGCGGAAAGATTGGTTGCACTCAACCCCGAAGAGTGGCCGCGATGTCTGTCGCCAAACGGGTGGCCGAAGAGTACGGTTGCCGTTTGGGACAAGAGATCGGTTATACCATACGTTTCGAGGACTGCACGAGTCCTGAGACACAAATCAAATACATGACTGAAGGTATGCTTTTGAGGGAATGTCTGATCGATCCCGATATGAAGCAATACGCGGTCATTATGTTAGACGAAGCGCACGAGCGAACCGTTTGCACTGACGTGTTGTTCGGTTTGCTGAAGAAGTCGGTCAAAAACAGGCCGGAAATGAAATTAATCGTGACGTCAGCCACTCTAGACGCCGTCAAGTTCTCGCAGTACTTCTTTGAAGCTCCCATTTTCACAATCCCTGGCCGTACTTTTCCCGTAGAAATTCTGTACACCAAAGACCCGGAAACTGATTACTTGGACGCCTCTCTCATAACTGTGATGCAAATCCATTTGACTGAACCGCCCGGCGATATACTGCTCTTTCTCACGGGTCAGGAGGAGATCGACACCGCGTGTGAGATATTATACGAGCGGATGAAGTCATTGGGTCCAGAAGTGCCCGATTTGATTATTCTTCCCGTGTATTCGGCGCTTCCCAGCGAAATGCAGACCCGAATCTTCGAGCCGACTCCTCCCGGCTCTCGCAAAGTGGTTATCGCCACGAATATCGCCGAAACATCGCTTACAATCGATGGCATCTATTATGTGGTCGATCCGGGATTTGTGAAGCAAAATGTGTACAACTCTAAGGCCGGAATGGATTCGCTGATTGTGACGCCTATAGCTCAGGCTCAGGCCAAACAAAGGGCCGGTCGTGCGGGCCGTACGGGTCCGGGAAAGTGTTACCGATTATATACAGAGCGCGCCTATAGGGACGAGATGTTGACGACACCCGTTCCCGAGATTCAGAGAACAAATTTAGCCGAAACTGTGCTTCAGTTAAAGGCGATGGGAATCAACGATTTGTTGGCCTTTGACTTCATGGACGCGCCGCCAACGGAGACCTTAATTATGGCTTTAGAACAGTTGCACTCTTTGTCCGCTTTAGATGAAGAAGGATTACTGACGCGATTGGGTCGACGTATGGCTGAGTTCCCACTCGAGCCCCGACTCTGCAAAATGTTGATAATGTCTGTGAATCTCGGCTGTAGTGACGAAATACTGACGATAGTGTCGATGCTGTCCGTCCAGAATGTCTTCTATAGGCCTAAAGACAAGCAGGCGTTGGCCGACCAGAAGAAGGCAAAGTTCAATCAACTAGAAGGCGATCACTTGACTCTTCTGGCAGTGTATAACTCGTGGAAGAATAACAAGTTCTCGAATCCGTGGTGTTATGAGAACTTCGTTCAGATCCGGACACTGAAGAGAGCGCAAGACGTGAGGAAACAGTTGCTCGGAATTATGGACAGACATAAGTTGGATGTGTTTTCGTGCGCCAAAAACACGGCGCGCGTCCAGAAAGCCATTTGCAGCGGATTTTTCCGCAACGCCGCCAAAAAGGACCCGCAAGAGGGCTACCGAACGCTTGTGGACTCGCAAGTGGTGTATATCCACCCGTCGAGCTCTCTATTCAATCGACAGCCAGAATGGGTTGTTTACCACGAGCTCGTGCTCACCACCAAAGAGTATATGCGCGAAGTGACCACAATTGATCCCAAATGGTTGGTCGAGTTCGCGCCCTCGTTCTTCAAGTTCGCCGACGCATCCAAACTCAGCAAACATAAGAAACAGCTCCGTTTGGAACCGCTATATAATAAATACGAAGAACCAAACTCTTGGAGAATATCGAGGGTTAGGCGTCGAAGGAATTAAGTCATCACTCATTCAAATCATGATTTTTCTCAATCCAATATATGATTACAGTTTTTCTGTACAGTTTATATGCATATTATTTTGACAATTATTGTGTTAACAATTTGTATTTAAATTAAGATAAAATTTTTAAATAAAAGTGAACTACATTTCAAATTATAAATCAATGTTTTATTGAATATAATGTAAACGATTATTCAATTTCTGAAACATTTATAAATTTATTAAAGTACAGTATAATTGCAATAAACTGTATATCGATTTATAAACACAGTATTAAATGATTGGCACATTTGCGTCAATCGCGTGAATGCTTTCCCCGAATCATAACTTGAATCGAAAGGTTGCGAACAGAGACAGAGCTAACAGAATATTGTGGGAAAGTATAGTATTGTATTGTAAACTGTTATCGAAACCCAAATACTGTTACTTTTCACTCTAAGTTTGATCTTCTGTTGAGTTGGTCTCAGTTTACTGTTAAATGATTTGATCCCAAATCTAATCTCTCTTTAATCTCAATTAGAGTCGATTAAAGATGAATCCAATTAACGACAAGAGTTTTTCGAGTGACAAGAAGTGGTTTTCGTCCAGTTATCTGACGCCCAATCGGAACGCCAGCACTGATTACCAGTACTCGAGTCACACGAATGGACACCAATTGATTGGTATAGAAATACTGTAAACCTATCTTAGAATTAACTAATTGTAAAGTCTATCCAAAGATCAAACCATTCGTGACATCCGAAGCCAATCAAGTGATTCGGTTTATAGGCATGACTTCAGATATGAGTCGAGAAGTGATCCAAAATCGTCCGCAAAGAGGACTAATGTGTGCTCTGAAAACAGGGACACAAAGAGATCACGATTTAGCGATCCATTCGATTCGCCCGATCTTCGGGTCGCAGACTTTCGCCACACTTTTGCGAATGAAAGTCATTCAAAGGACACACCGGTTGTCAGTCTGTTCTGCAAACCGTGCGCTTCTTTGAGCCATTCGTTTAAAGACTTCGCGCAACACATCAGAGGAAAGAAACATCAAATTGTATGCAAATCTAATGCCATTTTAAAATGTTTATTAAATTGTAAAAACTGTTGATTTGGTTTTGATTCTTAGAGAGCTATGCAATCGAAACAACTAAAAGTTTGCAATAAATTGCAAAACATGTTAAACAAAACTAAAGAATCCATCATTGGTTAGGCAGTGATTATTTACAATTCAATGATAAGTGTCAAGCAATTTGTTTTATCAATCATTTTATATTTTATATTAAGGTTTGGATTTCATAAAAGAAGTTCAAAGCAATCACTGCCCACAAGAGACAAACTTCAATTGTCTTTTGTGCAAATGCCATCACATTAGCACTCAAAACATTCTTCAGCATATCATTGGATGCAGACATCAGAACAATTTTATAGTAATTTATATTCATATAAATACAGGAAATACATAATCTATATCTCATTCCTCTTAGGAATTCATTCACCCAAACAATAGGGAGACTCTACTGGAGAGACCGACAGACAACCGATTGATTCGCTCTTTAGCTCAAAAGTATGAGAAACTATACGGCAGAGGAAACTGTCAGTACATCGATGACTGTGACAAAGCAATTACCACTCCTATAAACTCAGCCAATAATGAGATCAAAGTCAATACGAGAGACAAATTGACAACTAATGAAGAGTCGGACGCAAAAATGGTCGAAGCCTTCAAATCGATTCGCAAGATATGCGACCAAATGATTGCATACTATACTCCCAAACAGGACACCAGCACTCAATTGTCGCCAATACTTCCAAACAATGACGAGAATCAGAAGAATGCTCTCAACTGTTGGTCACAAATGATGAGTCTTTGTAACAATGATGTGACAAAAACCGAGAAATAGCATTGAATTCACTTTTTTCTTATAAATTTATTTCAACGTTTGCTTAATTTTATACATAACTTAATTAATATGCTTTTACACTAATGTTTTGATACTAATATTCACACTATTATTAACCATTTATTTTTATTATAATATTTATATATTCTATTCATTTTAGTTTCATTTTTCATTACTAAATAAATTGATTTTAGCTTTAATAATATTTATTTATTTCCTAATACAGTATATTTAACCAATTGACAGCATTAGAGATGAAAATAAGTTAAATAATTGATTTATAAACATTATTATAAGGAAAACAGTGTTATTGAAAACTTGTTAATTAATTCAAAGGGCACTCGTAGCTTTTAATATTTACAGTTAAAATATTTGTATTATTTTAACACATATTACTTTTTCAAGTTATAATAAAAACTTGAAAAGTTTTGTTTGATAAATGTATTAAAATTGTTTGTCTTTGAGTTTTGAAGAATGATTTGAATAAATAGGGAATAATAACCGCCAAACAGTTTAAACTTTTTTCTCCCATTCAGTAAAACAACAAGTTTTTAGAAGTATTTGAATGAAAGTCAAACGAGTGCTTAAAATAGTTAAAAACTGGTTGAGTTGACTCCCATTCGGTGCTGTTTTACGAGAGTTGTTATGCAATAATGGTTTGCACTTATCATTGAGGTTTGTTATCAGTTTAAGCCATACCTCTATCACATTTACGACAAACTATGCTTAACAACCAAACCGAACGCTCATAACATCTGCTTTTAACTCACTTTTTCTACACATCCGTTGCCTTAACGGAGAGATATTTTTCATTAAGTTTTTGTAAAAATGTTTTCGATATTAAATATGATTATAAAGTGTCGTTATTTGTAATTCTCGTTCAATTTGTTATTTATTGTATTATATTTTTTATCAACCATTAAAACAATTCAACGTTTGCTCTGATGAACAAAATACCGATTCTTCACTTCTAATAAATTTTCAAATTTAATTAAAAAAGTGCCAAATTTTGCCTACAATTGAATATTTAAGGACTAATTGATTGCAAGAAGACATGTCTTACAGACATTCAGAGGTCGGTGTCGGAGATGCTGTCCTTCTGGACGATCTCTCGATGAACTCGTTTGTCGAGAATCTAAGAATCAGGTCTGCCTTCAAATTATTTACTTAGAAATTATAATTTTTAAAATTTATTTCTGTATCAAAACATAACTTTGGTTCTAATTCTAAGACAATTCATGTCATAACTAATTATTTTGAGTTGTTTTGTCTAAATTTAAATGAATATAAATTATTACTCAAACTACGAAACTCTAGTTTCAAAGTCAAAAATGTTGATGAATTATTGCATTTACGGCATTCAATGTTTGTGTAGGAGTTATATAGTGAATGTCTGGATGTCTAATATAAGCTTATGATCTCATCAAGATTTTTGGATCAATACTTAAACACAAAAAAAAGTTTTGAAATGAGTCACTCTTTTTTATAATAATGTTTAGTTCTCCAGACATCAGAAGAACTGATTTATACTTTGGTCACAAAAGTTTTGTGTAATAAATTATTGTTATAGTGTATATTCAATATAATTTATAAAAGTTTTAAGTTAGATATTTATAGCTATTTTTGTTCACTAATTCTACTATAACTATAATGTCAATCAAAATTTAGTTCAAGTGTTGTATAATATTTCAAATCTAATATTTTTGTTATCAATTCCTGATTACAATGAGGTTTAAAAATTTTACTTTTTATGTAAAACACAGTAATATTAGCAATATTTATTTTGCAAACAATTCTTTTGTTTTGACACATAATATCCTGTTTTTATATTAAAGTGTTTTTAATTAACAAAATCATTATTTAAAAAAATATATCAAATGTGTGTATTCTTTGACACATATATGAAAACAAATAACTTATNTAATAAAAAGTACAGGAATTCATATAACATGTCATTCAATGACAATGTATTTGCATTGATTGTGTCGGTCATCACTACTGAACTTCACATAACTTTCCTTTTATATGTATTTATAAATAATTAAATATAAAGTCTTTCCACAATTATTAATAAATACAGAAAATCATTATCAGATATCGAGTCAACAAAAAATAATAGATTTAATAGATATTTTAGTTATTTATTAAATCGACAATAAAAAAAGTTTAGTCCCATATTTCCAATGAGCGATGAAATCATATTTCTTTGCATTAAAATACACAAAGCGTTAGTCAAATGGTAGAAAATTTGATAAAATGTTTTTTCATAAACTAAAACTAAACATCAATTAATTTTATGAGATTTATTACAAAATGAATCATTTATTTGAAGGCTATCTTCTCTTCGAGGATACGTTTTTTGCGCCCATTTTTAAAAAATCTATACATTAACTGAATTTTTCTTTTGGGTTTTATGACAATAATAATGGACTTAACAATAGTTTCATAATTTATAAATTTTCTTTTGTGCTTGAGTTTAAAAAACTCAATCAATTTTCATT